AACTACTTAATAGAATGCTAATCTGTGAAAAATCGTGACTTTTGTGGTTGTTTCTGTCCTCGTGAGATCGGATCTGTACCATTATGCTCCATTTTGGTATTTGTCTGTCATTACACAGCGCATGCGGATCTTAACCAGTTCTTGGCGAATTCAAATTGTGACTCGTCGTCTTTGCCAAAGGCCTCGTTATTGCATCGTCAAAAATGGCTGCACCGATGATTCAAAGGTCTTTGGTCGAAGGTGGATTCCAATTTCTCTCCTAATTGACTAATTTCCATTAAATCTCCTAACTCTTATGCCTAAGGACTTATTTGTTCTTTATGCCAAAATCAAAAAAACTAAGCACCACACATTCCTAAATTTCAACATTGAGAAGTCACTCTCGACAGGCGCTGTATTTGGAAACGGTGAACCCAATATGCCAACGAAATCTATTAGAAAATTGAAACGGCCTGATAAACATGACTGTAACCATGCATTGTTAAACGAGCATTGATGATCACATGAGTCCATGGCTTACTTACAAGTTGAAACATTTTTCTACATGGTACAAAACTTTGCAAATTGGGACCCAATTTTGTCAATTTAGAGTAAGATCAACTATAGTCAAGTAAGATTTTTGTTGGATAATAAGTCGGCTAATATCACGACCTTTAAATTTCACTAATTCAAAAGTATACACGGGTGGACAGTCTAGATCGTTGCTTGATCCGCGTTCATCTTGCAATGATACGCATTCCATAAATCCATCAAAAATGTCAAATATAAGGAACACAACATTTCAAAGAAGTAGTTGCCGAATTGGTTTATTGAGATTGTTGATTGTAGTTAGAGAAAAATGCCCAAGATCTTCGATGAAGCTAGTGATGTCAATATAGGAAGCAGACCAATTGTTGTGATGACATAAGTGAATTTGTCCACATTTTTAAAGTTGGAATTGCGAATTGCACTGATCTTAAACAATAACTCATCAATTAGTATTTCAACATGTGTTTGTTGTTGGCTAAGCGTCAATCGATAACATTGAAGTCGCATCACCGTCGTATGTATAGCACTTGTGATGCTCCTTGTGATAGCATTTAGAATCCACCAGATATCACTTTAAGAGCCGAGAAGAGCTCACATGAATTTCAAAAGAATGAGCACTGATTTCGTGACGATTATCATCAAACCAACATGTGGTATTGAACATGGCGTGTCATCTAGTCTCATATGTCTTGGGACAAGTTGATTTCATCTTGGAAAGAAGCTTCTGCTGTCAACACAGGTGCGAGATCATAGATAGTAGTGTTCCATACCATGCATCCCCATCCAACATGTATGACTCTTGTAGCGGAATGTTCCATTGATGGAGAATACACCACACACAAATGAATCCTTCCAATAAATATTGTTGAAGACGCATGATAACACCTGCATCATAAGATATCATGTTTTGAGCTCTATCTGGCGACGCATCAATTAATTGATTTCTTCAGCGAGAAGAAAGTACATCAAATAATTTGCACAGAATTTCAAACTGTGACAAACCAGTATGAGATCCGTAAAAAAATTTGATATAAGATGCAAATTATAAGACTGGCGTTGCCAAACAAAACGAGCACAAATATCTATGTATGAAGTGAGGCAAGTTGAGGCATCAAGAGCAATGAGAACGTCCACACCATGCATAAGATATTAGAAATGATCTGAAAATTGGCACCGCATCGGACGCGTACATATGTTGCAATTTTCAAAACATTCATCCCACCTAGCTTGAAGATCATGACAACTTCCTTTGTTACTTGAAGCGCCAACGTAGCCTGCTTGAGACTAATACCACTGTCAATGTATTTAATTGCAAGTTGGTATGTCATTGAGGTTTTGATAGTCACATACGAGTTACTCGTGTGAGTATCTAGCGTGAATACGGGCATTGCGATCTCATAGGTTTGGCCCTCAAAATCTTCAAGATTCCATAACATTTCTCTTATGATGACCTCAACCATGTCGTTGTCGATAATGTATGTTACATGGTTGATATCTCTCTCCAGATGCGACATGATTGTGTTCACAAAAGGTACTTCAATGTCGAAGTAAATCCACTTACTTTCTATAGAGAGTGCTTGATACTCTTTCCAACAAATTGAATGCTCGCTTTTGAGATGAATGTGGTAATTCTCGGGACAAAACGATGGATCAATTGTCTTCTTTGTGGTCGATTTTTGACGTTTTGCATGAATTTTGCTCTCACAACCAAATGATGTATCAAATCTGCATGCAACTGCAATGACCCGATTCATGGCGGCATCTCGTTTTGAAATTTGAAGATCATATTTCTATTGATGCAACAAATTGAAAAGTGTCATGCGCGTCGGCACCGCGTTTGACTGTTTTGCTATTCCAATCATTTGGAATTTTTTTTTTCTGAAATCACTTGATTTATCTCCTTCTACGGATTGTCACTTTCTCCGCCAAAAAGAATAATCATGTTGCCTCTGCACTTCCCTCCCCTTGCCTCTACTCGCTCTCTCGCCTCACCTGTCTCCACCTCTGTGTCTCGCTCACTTTCTCCGATACTCTCGTCAAACTAATTTGATAACTACTATCACTACCAAGTGACAAAGAAGAGATGAGGGGCATCCGTGCTAGCTTTATCTGAACATCTTGTGATACTCAATAATTTATTGCACATGAATCAAAACAACAACGTACAGAGGTTTTTCTTTTAACTTACATATCGTCATGCATCAGCTCTCGGAGTTTCTTCTTGGCATCTTTGATCTTCAAAGTCAGTTCGGAAGTCAGGCAATTTGTCAAAATACTCAAAAACAAGAATATACAAGCAATCACGTCACAACTGCGCTCCCTTATCCTTGCCTCGCCTCTCTCTTTCTCTCGCCTGGCCCGTACACACCTCTATCTCTCGCCCACTTTCTCCCACACTCTCGTCGATCTTGTCAAGATAGGTGAATCTCCTCACACGCTTTGCTCTCTCCCAGCCCTCTCTTTCATCAAAGACACATCCTCTTCTCTACTCTCTCTTGTGTGAATGAATTGAAGCTACTTTCTCTTAGGTGAAGTAAGTTGAGGCTGATCTGCCTTTAATGTTCCAGAAATTATTTTGAGTTTAGGGATTAAAGAGATTTGAAATTAGATATATTGTGCATCTATTTTAAAAATGCCTAATGTACAGAGACCAGATTATGAGTCTTAGAAATTACCTAAATCTTAAATTTAAACCCTAATCTAGCTAAAATAAATTATTCACAAGACATGAGTTAGCTTCCAACACAATTTATGCCATAGTATTCATAGTATGACAAACACATTGTTTTATTCATGTAAGCAATATTTGTTTTGATGATAAATTCTAATTTTTTAGAGAAATTGGAACTTTTTTTTATGATGAAGATTTTAATGTACAAACTTGAGTACAATATAAAGAGATATGCAATCATAGAGTGACAAAAAATCAAATTCTTAATTAAATTTCACGTATTAACAAAAAAATAATATTAGATGAATATTGTAAATAAACATCCAATATATTTAAAAAAAATAAACTTCTTGATTATAAACGTAAAAGAATTTTGCATGTTAGATTGATGATTAAAAAAAACCTAAAATTTTGTAAACAGTTTAATTGATATGTGTAGTTTTCATTTGTTTGTATTTTGTCATTTTGATTTTTTATCTTTATTTTATATCAAGCATATTTTTTTGCAAATATATTTCATGAAAAATGTAAGGTGTGAATTCTATGTTGTAGACTATGAGGTTTGTGAAATACAAAAACAATCAGTGTGATGTTTTATGTATGGAATGATTTTAAAAATAAAATACTTGATAATTTGATGCATTTTTAAAAAGGAAGAATATGTTTTAGATATTGATATAAAATAAATTGGAATTACGCCCATCAAATTTTGAAAAAAATTGCCATGGATTTTTTATTTTCATTTATATAGTACTAGAGAATCCGGGAGATGGTGCGTCATAATTCCTTCGAAAACATTTTTGCATAGAATGAAATGGCTATTATTGAATGAAAAATACCAGCCAAGAGCATAATTATTTTGTAACGGACCATGAAGCATAGGAAAGTATTTTGTTATATACAATTGTCACGAATATAAAAGCACCTGATCTAATATGATATAGACTGATCCATGGCTGAGTAAGAGTAGCCATGGTCACAATCTGACTAAGTATTGTACACAATATTGTAAAGAAAGTGGTCGTATGCTCAAAATTAACTTGCTCTAATAGGTTATTACTTGTACTTTTCCGTTCATTTACGTTACTTGTTTATTGTTGTACCAAGTTATTATACTAGTATTACTTCTTTCTTGTGGCTATTCTTGTAGGATGCTAGGGTTTCTTTTGGTTCTCTCGTAGGTTGGCCGTTTATATTGTATTTTCGAGACTTTTCACCTCTTGGGTCCCACGTGCTCCATCTATTTACCATTTACATCTCATTAACTGGCAAATTTTTCTAGCCATGTGAACCGACTTCTGGCGGGTAGTAAATGGGAATGGAAGGTAGTTATGGGTAGGTAGTTTTCAAGCACGTGAGCGGGCTGCGCAACGCAGTTCGAGCGATTTACGCAGTACATTAACAGTACGACCTGTTCTTTCCGCAGTCATGAGGATCTGTACACTGTACACCGTACATAACATAAAGATATCGTAAAGGGCGAGGCGAATACAAGAATTTAATACAAGTCAAGGATTCGTGCAAGCGCCGGCAAACGATCGACGACCTTATCCGGGGAGGAGGGATCGACGACTGGGAGACGCGCGGTCGATGGCCACCGGGGGTAACGTCGAACAAGAACAAACAAAACCACAACGTCAGGCGCGGATCCTGTCCTGCGAATGATGTGCGCTAATGTTCTGACATTCCGATCTCGATCCGCATTCTGAGTGGCCCAAATGCTCATCATGCATCCTCCCGAAATCTTCCCCCCTGGCCTCCACCGGACTAACCCCCACGACTTCTCAACCCAAACCCCCATTCCCACCTGCTTGAGCGTCCCCAGTACTTCCTCCGCACCCTCCGACGCCGAGTCAGCATGCATGCAACACATTGAGCGATACGCTTCCGCGGCATCAGCAGCGGAAGCGTAATCCATCGTAAACTGAAGGCGAGACTGTCTTCGATGAGTCCGAGTCCGAAAGAGTTGAGGAAGGGAAGCAGGCAGGGATGGACGCGGTGAATGTCTATGTTGGAAGAGCTTGGAATCATGAACTGATTCCTCGACATTAGCGAACGAATGGGAGACAGTAAGGATGATAGGCTTGGCGGCGTGGTCGGGACGTCCTTGCAGAGTTTTGCCAGCAGGCAACGCGAACAGATGGAGCGTGATGAACGAACAGATGGAGTGTGACTAGAATCCCGTTCATCCCGAAGACAAATTAAGAGAGGCGGAGGCTGTTGTTCGCTGCTTTTCTTGACAGGGGTTTCCTTCGGGCTGAGGGAGGTATTTATCTCATTTATAGTGAATAATGGTAGAGGACAGGGCGGGTACTAGCCGTTGTGATCGATCGTTTGGCGATCCTGCGGCGAGGTGATCTTTGCTCGAGAGGGTGTCGGGTTTTCCTGGTTGAGCTGTATAATCTTTCGGAGAAAATGCAGTGTCCAACTTCTGCGAGCTGCCGGGGAAGCCAGCATTTCCCTTGCTCACGTAAGAAAATTGCTGAGGGCTTCTTACCATCTTTCTTGTCGGCTTGGCGATTATCGTCTGTGTCGTTGAGGCTTTCTTCCTCCGCCACAATTTCTCCGCATTATGCCCCACAGACTGCTGTCCAATCGGACTCCAAAAGCGACGGACCGAAGTCCACGAGACCAAGTCCTGTCAGTGTACTTAGTCCCCAGCAGGCGACCGAGGGCATACAGCTTACTTCATCGAAGAATGCTCCATCGAACTTGGAGTTACGTTTGTTCACCGGGCGGTATTCTGACGCTGACCTTCCAGGTAAGTGAGGCAAGAAATAGGAGGTATCATTGCGTCTCCTGAAATATCTATGTTGACTGCATGCAGTTTCGAAGTTCCTGTGCACTCAGAATTTGGTCCTACTTCAAGGATTTAACTTTGTCGAATATGCGTGAACATGTTTGCCGTTGCAAGTATGTCTGTTCAAATGGTAATGTGAATGCGCCTGTTAGCCTCGGACTTGAAAGAAGAGTCTACTTTAGGTGGAAATCTACCTGGTGCAGTGCGTGACGACCGACTTAAGGGCAATTCGTATAAATATATATAGATGTCAGTCCAAACCTCAACTTGGCGGAGCATTGCCTGATCGTGTCATGATGTCGTGGCGCGATTGTCTTGCAAGAGGCCATTCCAAACTTTTGGAGAATTCTCTGTGAAGAATGTTCAGATTTTCTTAAAATTCTGTTCGAAAACTCGCTTTTAGATGCTTCAGCACGTGTTTGCTATTATCTTCTCTCATTTGGCGCTGTCAGCAGTAACCTGTTTGTAGTCGTTTACCACCATATTATAATTCGTACTTGGGAGGGTACTTCTATTCTTACTGCTGTAAGACTTTTGTCACAATGTTGTCGGTGTAAAATCTCACTGAAACTGGACAATTGGCGCTTTCGGTCTTCCGATCTCTCAAACCAGAACTTATTTGTCCGGTGCTCACTTTCAGATTCCTGGTATTCCCACGTACTGACCATTTCAATATGAGTCTCTTTCTATACCTGAATGTACCTCGCGCCATGGCAACGTCACACGCTGTTTCTTTCTCCTCTTCGTTAACGCCATTGAAAGCAGAGGAGATCACTGCTCTTCCATTTCTCTCCGCAGATTGAGCGTGTGCTAATCCATCTGCGGAACACACGATATTTGCAAGATCTCGTAAACCAGATCATTGAATGTAGCTCAGATACTGCAGATCCTGCTCAAACCTTGAGCTCACCTGTTTGAAAACGAGTGCTACTTACCAATGGGTTTGCAGTTATCTAGTCACAACGGCTACGCCCGTGACATGTCAATCATCATATGCTTTGTATTTTGAAACAGGAGCGGACATTCTAGATGCCGGGTTGACGAGAGAGTGGAAGCAATGGACCGGAGTCAGGGAAGACATAACTGCTGTACTTCTACAGTTTTTAGAATCGAAGGGACTGGACTCGGCCCACGCCGAACTAGCAGCACAGGAGGCACCGGCCTTCATTACCCACTTGCTCTCCCTTCTGAGATCCTGCTTCCCTGCTCGCTTTCTCTGTGGTAAGTATCCCAGCATTCCACTTCCCTTATGTCGATGAGACAGTAGAGGAGAACTGTTAAGCATCGAGTATATGCTCATCCTGTGCTTCAGACCATAGGACCTCACTCTAGCCAGCGATTTTAGTTATGCAAACATGAGGCTTATCTAAAATGTTGCGGTTTTTTTACCAGCTGCTTTCATGGCTGCACTGGTAGTTATCAAGTCAAGATCACAGGCTGAGAAATTTATGTATTTCTTCGTGCAATATGAAATAAACGTTGTCCACGTCTATTCAGGTGAGAAACTTACCGGGAGCGAAATACGGAGTGTTCTCCTGCCGTATCTGGACAATCTGAGCGAGACTCACGGAGAAGAGTTGGATATCCTCGCCAAGTTTCCCATCTTGCCCGGGAAGCTGCTGCCTGGATTTCCAGATTTGTCAAGCTTCGTACCACAACCAGGAAACACGAGGGAAATTTTGTCAGGTTACCCGTTGCTACTAGAGCATCTGGTCGATGGGAAACTGCCTTCTTCGCTATCCTATTTTTTGAGCATCGGGCTCACACCAGCCAAAATTGACTGCATAGTCAAAAAGTTCCCCCCTATCGTGGCGTACAGTTTTGAGGGGAAGATACAGAAGGTGGTGGATTATTTGCTGTCGTTGGGTGTGCCATCTTCCCTTATTCCCAAAGTGCTGGTGAAGCGACCACATCTGTTTGGATGCAATGTGGAGGAGAACTTGAGACCCACTGTGACGTTTTTGGAGACCCTCGGTGTAGAAAGCAAGAGATGGCCGAGAATTCTTGTCGCTTTCCCCCACATGCTGACATACAGCCAGTCTAAGACTGCCATGATATTCAACTACTTAATACAAGTTGGTTTCACAGCAGCTGGTGCAGGCAAGGTACTAAGCCGATTCCCGCATGTAGTCGGGTACAGCGTCGAAGGCAAGCTGAAGCCACTGGCAGAGTACTTCCACAGCATCGGTATCGAGGATTTTAGCCGTGTCGTCATGCGCTCTCCTCAAACACTGGGCTTGAGCTTGGAATGCAACATCAAGCCTACCATTGATTTCTTTTTGAGTCTAGGTTTCGAAATGGAGGAGCTCGCTTTTGTACTGAATCGTTTTCCACAGGTTCTAGGACTGAACGTGGAAAATAACCTGCAGCCGAAATGGGATTTCTTCTTGAAAATGAAACGCAGTCGATCGGAATTGGTGGATTTTCCTCAGTTTTTTGGTTACAGTTTAGAGAACAGGATTGAGCCACGGTACAAAGTCATCACAGAGAAGGGACTACCTTGGACTCTGAACAGGATGTTGAGTTCTTCAGAGGTCGTCTTCAAGAGACTCATGAGCGACTAAGTGCCAAGGAGTTTGACATGAGACTTTAAGCTGGTTTGCCTATGATCTTATCTACAAAGAGATTGATGAGTGACGTTGAACCGATTGGAGAGAAAGTTACATATCAGCAGCGGCGAGATTGAGATGCTTATTGTGCGAGTCTCGGGATGCAGAGTCCAAAAGGTCATGCGTCCTATGCACTAACTGAAATCACGTGGGCACGGACTTGTAAATATGTACAGAAATTATTGTGGTGCAATAAAGAGTTTGCAGCCGTTGTACATCGAAGACTGTCTTCGTCGGAGTGCTCCCCCTGACTCCATAGCAAGACAAAAGTTAATGATGCAAAGGAACCTACACCTCGAAGGGCCGCTGTTTTCAGTTGGCCGGATAAATGAATAACCCGCTGCATATATCTTTGTCAATCTCTACAAATCTCCTCTTCCCTTCGACAAACAACATCAAGTTTTTAACAAATAATGATCCGCAAGCGGCGATATCTAGTGGTAGCGTCACTCATACGTAGCCACACAACAGCATGACATATTCTCAACTCAGATTACGCTGCTGTGACCATTCAGCAGAATACCATTCAATGCTCCTCATGCGCGGCCGTGTCCGCGGAAAACTTGCTTTCATACTGACGCACCACAGTCACATGTTACACGCGGCGAAGGGCGATTTCTTCCATCGTATCCCTCTAGTGAAGTGGACGTTAAACTAATAAGCCCAACAATGCCAGAGAAAAAACTGAAAGGGACAAGTCGCAATGTCCATACTGGTGAGTGGACGTGCAACGCAAAAGCAACATTTACTGCCAGGTTCAGAAAAACTTCGTGTCCTTAGGTGAAGTTGATCCACGATTTGGAGGGACTCAAAATTTGATTATGATTTTAGAGTACAATGATATAGAGTTTCAGGTAGGTTGGGTAAGGCCACTAGCTGCCTAATGAGTACTCAGAAAAGTAGAGTTCTATTGTGGAAAAGCTACCCGCCCTCTATCCCTGATCCACCTAATCTAATTCAAGCCTGACCTGACCCATGGATCGATCCACGCGATATATCACATGGCTGCTATACTGGGTGTCGTTTCTCCTCTGTAAATGAAGGATGCATGTTCATTCTTATGCAGCCACTTTCTTCGATGTAACTGAGTTGCAGATTGCGGCGAAATCAGGTCCCTGCGAGGATACCAGCCCATGTTAGTACGAACAACTCATCGAGACAACGTTCATTCATTTATTTTTCATACTCTTTCAACTTTTTGAATTCTGATCTTAAACCCGGAACCAACTTGTAAAACCACTGATGAAAATTCCCATCTTGACAAACCAGGTCCTATAACCACGCCAAAGCCTCGTCTTCACTCATGTTTAATACCTTCAGAGAAGCACCCCCGACAAGGAAACCGTCGATATCCTCTTGTTTGGCAAGCTCTGAACTGTTAGCAGCATTCACCGAACCTGTACGACAATTGAAGTGTCACTGCAACCGTCCACAGCCTACGAAGTGCTCTACCCGTTCTTTGATAAGTGCTAAAAACAAAGTCGAAGACAGCCGAAGAAAGTGCAACGTACCACCATAGATGATGCGAGTTTGAGATGAAGCTTCAGCAGATACATTATCAGATATCCATTTCCTTATTTCTGCGTGCACTTCTTGAGCTTGTTGTGGGCTTGCCACCTTACCGGTACCGATGGCCCAGACGGGTTCGTAGGCAATGACGACATCCTTCCAGCTAGGAACCTCATCTGAAGTCAGACAAACGACAAACGTTCACATCCCGTAAGCAAGCCAGGCGACAACACAGTCTGGGCACGTTAATTTGCGACAACTGAACCAAGCAGAAAGTGCAGATCGTTGATCTGCTAATCCATGGAGTTCTCTCCAATTAAGAATTGTGATTTGTATACATCTCAGCTGAAGGGCCGGTGAAGGGGAAACTCGACGAACTCACGTGATACTAAGACAAATGATAGAGAGATGGCGCCAACAGAAAGGCTCCATTCTAATCCAAAATCTGACATCTTCTCGCAAATAAAATAAAAGAACTTCCAATTCTTCGGGTCAAAATAAGACAAAAAATGAGCGAATGCGTGCTGCGAGGGCTACAGCTGCGCAGTTTTCTTACCGGCGTAGGCCTTGAGTTGCTCAAAAACGACTTCGGTGGTTTTCCCTGCCTCTCGCTCTTCCAGCAGTTCACCAACACAAGCCATAACCTTCAAGCCATTGCTGAGTGCGTACGCAGCCTTCTTTCCAATAAACTGATCGATCACCAAAACCCAAGAGTGAGATTCGCCTTTTTTGACAGAGGAAGATGTGATGTTACTCAAGTACATATCAGAATTTTTGCATCGCTGCTACGGTCAAGTGATCTTGTAGTTATCACGAGCCCAAGATGCCCTATCTAAGAGGTATTCAATACCTCATTTTTCTCCCCGATGACATGTCTGCGCTCCGAGTGTCCAAGAATGACCCACTCCACACCAAGATCCTTGAGCTGCTCAGCACTGAATAAGACCCACGCGTCTCAGCATAGACGAATCATGATGCAAACAGCGACTCGAGTGTAAGTTTCAAACCGCCACTTTTGACAATGCATCAATGGGCCAATTATGCACTGCGGTCAGGCACAGGAAAAAAGTATACCTGACGAAAAGCATTTCACAAAGGAGAGTTGTGGTAGATGAACCTAGGGGACCAAGATCTTCTCACCTGATCTCTCCTGTGAAGGCTCCGCCCTTCCCAACCCACGAGTTCTGGGCAGAGACTTCGATGCGCTTCGTCAAAGTGTTCAGAACCGAGTCCAGGTAGATATAGGGTGGCGCAACGACCACATCTGTCACATAAAAGCTCAGCAGTTATAACTTTGCGACATCTCAGCAGCGCCACTCTCGAAGGGATGTGGACGCCGGCGGCGAGACGTTGACAGATCTACGAATCTTCACATCGCCGCTGAATGGATTCATACTGTCATCATTCCCCCAAAATTTTAGTGATCAGCTCAATTTACGTGCGAGAATTCCGGGTTCCAAGAACTAAAAGCTCCTATTACTCACCTACATCTTCCTCAAGCTTGGCATCATTGAGCTCTTGGACAAGCTTCTTGACCGACTCCTTGTTGCCATTCTGCACAAACAATTCCCATGATCAGGACCAGAGAGAAAATTGACATGTCCACAAGTGTGACATGTCTAGCGCGATCGCTGACGACGATTTCGCCGTGAACATTTCGCGCAAAGCAAAAGCTAATAGTAACTGAAAAGAGTAGCTGCCAAATGCTCGAAAGGACCAGAGGAGACTCGAAACATTCAGACACAAGAAAGGGGGAGAGAGTTGAACTCACGGCTTTCCAGTTTCCTCCGACAAAGAACTGCCCACAAGAAAAGACACATCGTTAGCAACTTCGACGTAAATACGACAACAAGGGAACAGTACAATACACTTGTCTACTCTGCCCAGGCCTCGTGATCCGCACGCAAACATATTCCACCTCCCCCTCATGCAGGCAAAGCATCGACGCAGGGCTTGATTGGATTAACCGACACTCGCGGATCACACCGAATCTACATCCAGAGTGCAGTTATGAACGAGGTTGCGTTCACAGAGCCACAGCGGGGAGCCGAGCTCATACACCCACTAGAATTACGCATCATACGCAAGCGTAATGCAGGTCCGTCCAGCGGCCAGGCCGAGATTAAGAGGATGCGCATGTTTCCCCACCCAAGCCTAATTCCTCTCACTCACAGCGAAGATGCACATCATGCACCACGATTAACCAAGACCAGAGCCTAAGAAATTCGAATTGGCGAGCGCACTCTCTGAAATTGTCCTCCCCCGCCCCGATCGAAAGATCCGCACCGGACTCCGCATCCCAAGAAATCAAATCAGACAGTCAACTCTGACCAACACCTCGAAATCCAACCGAGAAACGATCTAAACGCTCTGCAATCACACCTTGTCCCCGGCCAATGCGAGCAACACGAGGAAGGCATGGAATCACAACCTTGCCGGTCCCCACCATGGTGACGATGCCTCGGCTGGCGTTGGCGCTACCATTGCAGAGGCTGAGCTCGTGCTGGACGGCAGAGAAGCCCGACAGGCGCTCGCCGTGCGATAGAACGTCGACTCTCCTCAAGCCGGAGAAGCTCAAGGTGCAGCTGCTGGCTGGTGCCGATCCCCTGACTCCCGCTGCTGCGGCCCTGGGGGCAGCCATCGCCCCGGCAGAGATCATAGCCACACAGCACGCCTGCGCCATTGCTCTCGCCAAATTGCTGCGGAGTCCAATTTGCCCCTCTGAAGGAAAGTCGAGCGAGCGTCAGTGCGTGCGTGCGTGCGTGCGTAAGCGTGCGGAAGGATGGATATCTAGATAGGCGTCGCAGAGACGAGCGAGCGTCTCTCGCTTCTTGATCGTCTCGTGCTTCGCTTCTGCCTTTCTCGTCGTCTGGCTCCGATCAAGCAATCCGGATTGAGCTAGTCCCGGTCCCGCAGTCGCTCCCTCCCGTCCGCTCCGCCACTTTGCAGCGCGCGTCTCCTCTCCTCAGCCCCTCGAAGCCTCCCCTCCTCTCCTCTCAGACACACAGAATCTAATCTCTGCGCAGCAGAGCGGACACAGACGGACACACGATACGATTCCAAGTCAGACGGAAAGGGGTCTCTCTGTCTCTCCCTCTCTCGGGGCTTCTCTTTCTCTCGGGGCTTCTCTTCTTCTTGTTGTTCGTCACCTTCGTCTGCCCTCCCTCCTTCCTTCCCTTTGCTTCTCTAGCCCCTCATCCACGGTTGTACATATAAGCGCATCTTCTACCCTACGAGGGAGGACGAGCTAGGCGGGGCGGGTTTGGGCCTTGGGCCTGCCTCCCCTGCGAAGCCCAGCCCTGGCCGTTGCCTCTCGGTTCCTCCGGTCCGGACTGCCGTTCACCTTGATGCTGATACAGTCGTTGAGGGGGGGGGGGGGGGGGGGGGGGGGGAGAGAGAGACTTCACTACTGTAGTCTGGCGGGTCTTGCCTCTGGAAGGTGGGGAACGTGGTGCATGGGAGGGGGACTGTGTACCAACCTGGATCTTGCTCCTTTCCTTCGTCTAGCTTCGGTTTTATCTATCTCTCGTCTCGTCTCGTCTGACAGGTGCAAACAAACGAATGTTGATGGTCTTGAAGTGATGTGCTGGACGGGCCAAAGTGGCGTGTTTAGTGCGTGCAACAATCGATCATCATCCTTCGATGAAATACAGTGCTGGTGCTTTCGGTGGTTGGTAGGGACTATTTGTTTGTTAGGACTTAATTAAAGTTCTCGTTTTGTGCTCGCTTCCCTCTCATTGGTGTTTTGTTCTGTATCAGATGCGCACGTCATGTTTGATTTATTTTTGTACGGTGGAAACTGTTCCAAAGAGAATTTCCTCCATCATAAATCAGATTATAATACTCTTCCAGCTATGCATTAAATTATCAAAGTGTTTCCTTCGGCATGCAGTTGGACCTGAAGTAGCATTTCCAGTTTATCCATTCCCGAGGTTACTTATACGTCCAGATCTTTCAACTACAAGCACTTGCCCAAGGCATACTTTTCTGTAATTGAAGCATTTTTCTCTAGCATAATGATCTCGTCAGTCATTCATGAACAACCAGAGGTTGAAGTTCACAATTTACATCAGAATGATCATATGTTGCTAAATTCAATTTCCTTTGGGGTGTACATAATTCAAGTGGTCGTTTCGTGTACATAGACGATGAATCTGGCTCCCAATTGGTATTGATGTTTGCCAAGAGTCGTGGAGTACTTATAGGGTAAACCACTGTTCTACTTCCTGTTGTGTTTAGGAATTATATTTGGAAGTATTGAAACAAACCCAACTACATAGAGAACGCCCAGTCTATCTCGAAGCATAATGCAACAACATAATTGAGTTGACCACTATTTATGTTTCTATTGAGGGTTTCCACCTTTACTTGATGGATGGAAAAGAAGCGAGAGCTGCATCCATTCATCAAACATTTCTAAGACAAAAATTTGACATGCAAAGTCTCGTGCGAAATTTACAATAACAGTCGGCTGAGAAGGAATTACTGTCGCCTAACTTTCTACCTCTCCTGACCGATGCCAAGGTAGATGGCACCTGAACTACGCTACAGCACTGCAGTGTTTCAGATAACTCAGATCCATGGGTTTTGCAGCTTGCATAGATGTAGTTGTACTTTACTGCTGGCATCGAAACACTTATATTCTGTACAACCGACTGGTACCAACCCTCTCCTCTCCTCTCAGCCATCATCGAGAGAAGGCAGTGATTTTCTACATAAACAGTTTGCACAGAAAGGAAATAAAATAGGAGATTGTTTTGGGGGTATTCCAAGGAATGTTGCTGAAGGTCGGTCAATCGGTCACAACTGCAGTCATTAGTCGTCGCTTGTTTCGTTCGGAATTATTATTAGAATCCTACATACGAAGAATATCCTTGACGAAAGAGAGACAGAGAACGTCAGCATAGAAACAAAATCGGTGTCCTTATAAATCTTGACAGAAAACGACAGAGACGGAGGTTACAGTGGCCATAGGTTTCTGAGGGGTATCTCATCCAGCGGAAAAATTGCAAGTTTAGGTGTATTTCCTTAAAGCGTCTGTACATTATGCTCAAGCTTCGGCTGATAATTTCGATCCTCATGCTAGCGGATGAACTTACCTTCTCGGCCCCAGGACAACTGAAGGGATTCGCGCAAACCCGAGATGACCGCTTGGTGACTTTGCACCTGTAACCACATTGCCCAGAGCCGTGATCAGTCGTACAATCAACCTTTTGTTACAGTTGGTATATTCCACCGCATGACCCGACGTTTTTGGCTCTTGCTGAATCTGACCGGCCATCTACAAAGAACCCACGAGGGAGTAATGTAAGGGAGGCCAGAATCTGTTGCATTGCATCAACCTCCTTCCTGACATATTAATATTAGTGTAGTTTTCTGAACAATCTTCAAGTGGGGACAGGTGGGTTCAGTATACTTCTTTTCGGCTCTTCGCTCTCCGCCCGCTAATGCATAGTCTCATAGTCTGTTGAGCTGCTCAGCAAGGTCTGTTTAGCTGCTGCACCTCCGCAATAATGTCCTTCGTGTCCGATATTCTTCGTTCTGGGTTACCAAAAAGCAACCAAGAAACTTCTCGCATTGCGAACCACATGGATCCTGAGACTGCCAGTGATCTTCCATATGTTACCCAGTCCAAGGCCGTGGGTGGGTTTGCTGGCCTCATTGTCACCCCTGGTAGCAGGACAGGTGGACAATGAGGCGCAAGCAGTTACTGAGTACACCGAGAACGTCTGGGATTTGCCCCCAGCCACCTTATATGAGACGTGTTGGACTCGAATGTTTCAGTTCAATAGATCGCGCGTGACATCGAGATCGGCACGAGTGGAGCAGCTCTGCTCAATCCAAGTGGTAGAAGTTTCGCCTCCTCAACCCCATTTGCTAACCCAGACACGAAGCACACTGCTGTTAGATTAACCTTGCTGTGAGTCTTGAGCATGGTTTTGGATCAGGTTTTAGTTTTCATGTTACGAAAACTGCTGCCGGATTCTAGAAGTTACGACCATAGCTGAGTTGATCCGTTCGTTTACAAAATGGCATGCCAGTGATCGCCGACAGACAATACATTTATATGCTATGATAGTTCAGTAAACATATAACTCCGGATTTGCGAATACGGATATCAGTAAACGAGAAACAATAAGAGCATGAGGACAAGTATACAAACTTTACGGATGAATATGACATGAAACCCGAGAGTTCGATACGCAGAGACGGTAATTGGCCACAGAAGTTGTATCTACTTCAATGGGATCCAACCAGTTTCTGTGTTGCCCGAATTGAGCACACTCGCAGGTTACCAGCCGCCTGTGCAGCTGGTATGGCACCAAGTGAATGGGAACACCAAGCTCGATAGAAATAAGGACGTTCATATTATACCGTCAAGTGTGAGAGTGTATATAAACATCAGTGCTGTGCTAAAGCAAAGAGCCTGATAGCCACTCACAGTTTCTTTTGCATTGATTATGTGACCTTTGCCCGATGACTCCCGAGCAATGGCGTATCAATATCAGTGCGTCTCTAACGGCACGTTGAAGAAATTCACCTCGTGTTACGACACGAGGGTCTCAAATGTAGAAACCGGGTCAGGTTTCTCGAGTCTATGGGGTACCGAGATGAAGAACTTGGAGGCAGTTTCCCCTCGACCCATTCGGCCAAGTTTCTCATCGACAGAGATATGACGCAATGGAAGCTGGAAACTGGGCACCGCTGAATTCTAAGAACCAATACTATATAATAGGTGTGTATCACAGTTTTCCTCCAGAAGGAACGAAGGTGGCTCTTTGAAAAATAGTGAAAAAAAATTGGATGACTCAAGATAACAAGAGGTATCGGAGGTGAGAAAAAAGAGACTTGCTTTTCTTCTCCAGCGGGCCTTTCTTCAGTTGGTTGAGAAGGACACTACCCATGCTAGAGAAAAATTCCAGCCGGAAGTCTCCCAACTTGTCTACATCTTTCGGCTGCTCGGTAGCTGCGGAAGCTTCATGATAACCCTGGACACTAACCACGAACTTCGTAGCTTGCCATCGACTCCATCAACAAGGGAGTGCAGATTATTATCCCAAAATGCGTGCAGGCCACCTACAAATGTTTAATCCATTCCCCAAGATAGTCCAATGACTGCGGTATCCCAAGAGGCCCATCTACTAAAAACTAGCAGATTATTTCTTGCTCAAATTCTCGATAAGAATACCTGATGGAAGTGATCTGATTCATGGTAAAAAAGGCTTACTCTTCCGCCGAATATGCAGCGACGGCGACGTGACGGGCAATTCCATCATTCCAAAGTCCAACCGTCGCCACCGAGGTAAAGTTTCGTGGTTATGCCGCTTTCTTGATGAATCGACGTCCTATCTCCAGTATCGACAACGAAAAGTGCCCCGATGAGCTGAGATGTTCTCGTACGATCCTTAAACCCTAATCCCGCGAGAGAAGAAAGGCGGAATGTGGGGAATGTAGTCGATCGCTATCAATATAGTCGATAGTCTTAGGTCTCTCTTAAAGTCAATTGATCCTCCTCCCTCAGTCTATCAAGGATCTCGATTCCAAACTCACGGCGCTCCTTGATGCCCATGCTGGTATTCCTCTGACTGCAGTCTGGGATATACTACAACCATGGATCCGGATATAACTGTACAGTCTTTCTTTCGTCAGCCAAGACCCTTTGAGGATCCTCTAGTACACCTTGTAGAGAAACAATTTCAAAATTTCCCCAAATGCAAGTCCGCCAGAGATGATAGATGGATCCGGCTGCCTCGAGATCAGCAAGGTCGAGACTTGAATCCAATGTACTACAAGCCCATAAAAGAAAGTCCCTGGGAACCTCCAAGACCAGTGCTCTCTGAGGGCCACACTTACGCTCTCACCGACGAGGTCCGAAGAATTTTCCCGCGCTCAGGCCTGCACCTCATTCCCAGAGCAACGTTGAGAGATCTTTTAGTTCCCGAATTCACAGGATACGAAAATTCTCGCGAAGCTGAGAAATGGATAACTCAATACAGCGAGTGGGCCATAATGTACGGCCTGTCGGCCCCTCTCACGAAAGAGCTACTGGTGGACTACCTCTACCGAACCCTGCGCTTCATTCCCAAACACCCCATCCCAAAAAAGGAATACGCTACATGGGAAGATTTCCTGCGAGACTTCTTTCTCGACATGAACATAAAAAAAGGTTCGTTCCCGAGTTCAGAAAATCTTTGGACACGCCCGATTTGACACATTCAGCTACAACTAGTCATGCAGAGATCTGTACCCACCTATCTGTAAACTAAACGCGATAAAGGAACACCAAGCGACATGAAAGCCCGCTTTTGCGTCCATAAATCTATCAATCTCCACCCACGAAGGAAATCAAACTCTTAATTCGTCCAGACCGCTCTCTGTCGAATTTCCATCCTGGCGTCGCTCTGCCTAGAGCAAATCTCTCTCTCTCTCTCTCTTCTTATGAAATTACATTCTTTTGTAGCAGTGGAGCAATTCAAAGCGTGGTACTGGCAGAAGCGCAAAGAGGTTTCCATCATCTGGTTCTCGCACACGGAACTCAAACTGGCCACTAATTACTTCGACTCGCGCCTTGTGGTGGGCGAGAGCAGCGCGGCTCGCTTGCTCAAGGCGGACATGCCCAACATGAGCCCAGCGGTCGTCAAGAGGTGGAAGAAGGTGGTCCCGCGGTCGCTGGCCAAGGTGCTGAGGGAGATCACAGTCCACCGGTACTTGCCCAAGCGCCACACACCCAACATAGTCCATCTGTTGGGCTACTGCACCAGCGTGGAGGACCCACTGCTGTTGTACGAGTTTGCGCTCAACGGGACCCTGCGAGAGCACTTCAAGGGCAAGTACGGGGACTACATTTGGCGGAGCGCACCGGTGCGACTGGCTATAGCCATCGACATCGCCATGGGAGTCGGCGAGCTTCACTACAATGGGAAGCTGCCGGTTTACCACCGGGACATCAAGCCTTCGAACATTCTATTGGACCGAATGTACCGGGCAAGAATTTCGGATTTCGGGGACGCTGTGGTAGTCAAAGGCGACGACGACCGGCACTGCCCCGCTGTGTGTGGGTCGCTCGGTTACCTCGATCCGGTATATCGGCAGACCGGTCGCTGTGATGACAAGACGGACGTTTACAGCCTGGGAGTGGTGCTCATGGAGCTGGCCACCGGCTACAAGGCGTGGGACCCGTTCCGGCAGGTGGCGCACGGGCTCAACCCCTTTCTGGTCGGGCTCGTGCTGGACTGCGTCCAGAAGGGGGAGATCGAGAGTATCATACGACCGGGTAACCCGTACCACATCGGCTCGCCCGGAGGTCACCCCGTGATGATGGAAGGCAACGCCATCGCCGTCGAACTGGTCCGCGTGGCGCTCTGGTGTTGCTGCCCAAACCTTCATCTTCGGCCGCGCGCGGACGCCGTGGCCGCCGTGCTCCTGCAGCTGCAGCAGCGTTGGGTCGACCCCGCGTTCCGCGCCTTGCAGCAGATACATGAAGTGGGCTCCGATCCCACGATTCCCGTCCCAGTCCCCGTAGGAACACCGTCGCCTAGTGCTGTTACAAAACGCGCTGGTAAAGGTAACGATGGGAAATCCATCACCGGGACTTTTCCTGCAGGAGGGAAGGAAGAAAAGACGCAGAGCGAAGGAGATATTGGATCGAAAAAGATCAGGAAAAGTTCTGCGGACCTCAAGACCCCAGCGAAGAAAAAAAATTGAGGCGTTGAATTGCGTCTTATGTACAGTTGACACGAGTAGAAGTAATTGCAAGAAACTCACGATGATTTCTAAACCCTAAGATATGAAGCCGGGTAAGAAGAGTCGAAGAAGAAGGTGAGACTCTTTCCGTAACTTTCGCATTGATGGAAGTAGGGGACGAATGATATCTAGTGAACCTCCAATCTCGATCACAGTAGCCAAGATCTTTTTACCGAGTATTGTGTGTAAATGCTTGATCATCTGAAGGCGCTTTTAATACAAGAAAATTACAGAGGTTAGGATAACTAGAAGAATTATCAAACTTACAAGCGACATGATCAATCTGTCAAATCTGGCCATTCCGCGGAGGGCGTATCTACATAGCCCCGAGCCTTCCTTGTCGAGGAGAGCCGTAAGCCATGCCTCCCGATGACGCATCACTTACAAGTGCGAGGAAATAACAATCTCCCTAAACGAGCGGACAGTGATGACAAGCTTTGGTGGGTGTCTTTGTTAACATTTTGGAGCAACGAGCAACCTTGATTTCACCAGACTCGAGGATGAACTGAAATGTGGACATGCCTCGAGCGAATGTGGATTGGTGCCATGAGAATAGGCCTTGGCGACATGATTGTCGCTAAAAATAGATAGTGTTTAGAGCAAGAGATCTGGTCTCAATTGACTTGAAAATATGTTTTATAATACACATTAATTTGTAAAATGAATGTTATGGAAAATTATCTTGCAATAGAGTCACAATTGCATTAGATCCTACCAACAACAGAACTTAAACACGTAATATATTCTCTCCCATAAACTATAATCTACAATGCTCTCCAGAAAAATATTTACAAACAAACTTGTACCCCTATGTTCTTAATGCTAGCAACATCATAATCTAAAGGCCATCGTACCATACGCCTTCATGTTAAACGCCGTGGCGCTTCAGGGGTACACATGTACTCACCGTTGTGTAAATCAAGCCAATTGCGTAACTAATCAGGTTCTGTGGCAAATTGTAACTAGCCAGGTATGGAAGCACTAGTCAGTTGAGGTAATTAGTCCGGCTGCAATGAAAAAGCGCAGTTAGGACTCATGTAGAGGTTCAACTCTCGAAGTTTCTATTTAAAATATGTGCATGTTGGACCTTTTTGCTACTTTTCTTGACAACGAACATATTGTTCTACATTTGTGATTTTTGAACGTTTGAGGATTTTGCTGCTGCTGCCTATGAAAGGTGATCGCCTGTTTACGAGAAGATCGATCCTTAGTTTCTTGATTTTTGCATGTCAGGCCTTTCTGCTGTTCTTGTTGTTTTACTATTGTTGCCGAAGTAAGTGCTCCTGATGATTGGCTGTTTATTCGAGGACCTCTCTGCTGTTCTTGTTGTTTTACTATTTTATTCGAGACCTCTCTCTAGATTCTTAATTTTTGCACGTCAAACCTTTCGGCCATTGTTGCTGTTCTTCCTGATGACCAAGAGCTTGTTGTAGGTTAGTGGTTTTCAAACATATGAAAATTTTGCTGGTGTTGCTAATCTTCTTGTGTATGTGTTTTCTTATTGTCATAGTTTGAAAAGCAATCTTGTTATAACCTCTTCAAGATACATGTTCTCAACTGAAATTTAAAAACTATTCTGCAAATTTTGTACAAGAATCAAACTTATATTATATACACGCATAGTGATTGCTGATGTGAAAGTACAAACCTTGCGGACATGAGAGTCTATAATCGATAGGATTTATTAGTAAAGCTGATATATTCATTAGATCCACATCTAAAGTGGTTATATTCACTCTTGGAAACTACATTCAACATAAAAGAACATGCAATAAATTAAAAATTTCTTAGGGTATTGTTAAATTCACCCTACTTCCCGGACTGCTTGCTCTACCGACAAAAGATTTTGACCAAATCTCTAAATCAATTTCTATTGTGCGTTCTCAATCTCTCCTTAACTCCCTTGCACTTGCATTAGTTTAAGAGCTGTTTGTTGTACAATTTAAAGCAGAACTTTCCAGGCAAAATCAACAACAGATAAACAAAACTTGCAGAGTTTTAATCTCCTCTTTCCTTGTCAACGATTTTGGTTATTAGAAATAATTGACATTTCACTTGGATTTACATTCCATTTTGCCTCAAAAAGTGAGTGTTTTATCCTCACAAGAGTAATTCAGAGTGAATTAGATTGAGTCGTGAACTTAATAACTTAAGTGTTCAAATTAACAATACTCTTTTCTTATGTGTATTATTAGAAGACTAGTACATTTAAACTACTAAATTTGAGAATTAAGATTTGTTGTGGTAGTGCAGTTTTTTCGTTTTTTCAGAAATAGAGTAGTTAGGACGGGAAATCCATGCATCTTTTAACTTTTAAGGTAGTAGTAATTAGATTAGAAGAGAATAAGTTTTTTTACTATAGATGTTAAGTAGGAATAGGAAAGCCCAAAGGACCTTCAGTAGAAGAGATTGATCTTCGGAGGTTGGTGAGATCCTGATCCGAAGGAACGGATCGGGAATACTCAAGTAGCGGTAGGAGGTACGAAGGCCTAGCTTTTTCAAATACCTAGTAAGATATTCGGGCAGGGGTATTCGGTATTTGGAGATGATGATCTTGGAGTTCCCGCGGAAACCCAAGCGGTGAAGGATCCCTAGGGAAGTAGAAGATAGCGCTCCACGGGAATGAAGTTTGAATGATGGCTCCTTTAATTCACACGAGTTGGAGAATCCGTTGCGACGGAGGGGTATACCCGAGGGATGGAGAATTTGTTGCCCACATTTCACGAACACATTATCACAATTGACGAGAGATTGAGGTGCGGAAGCTCGAGCAAGAGGAAGCAACTGTGGCGCGTCCGATACTATTATCCGCTCTGAAAGTTCCCGAGACAGGATTGCGAGCTTATCGTTGCGAATTAATCCTTGTGAAGATGGATTTTTTTGCTTTGGGGATGAAATTGGGCGAGCGCGGCGATAGTGCAAGAGTGGGACAACGGTGGTTTACCGAAGCCACCGGGTTATCGAGGAAATCCCGAGACGTGGCAAATTTGAAGAAAGAAGAAAATTTTGGGACGTTGCACATGTGACGACATGGACCTTACCTTTGACAGTGAGAGTGTCAAGGTAACACGAGAGGGAAACACAACTTTGTTCAAGCACACGTGCACCGGCAAGAATGGCTATTGTACCATCTGGTATCACGATCGGCTCAGAAGAAATGTGGCGATGGCGTTAATGGAAATCCTTCGACCTGCTCGGACCACTTATGATAACTTGGCAGGTTGTGTTCGTGGAACAAGCATTACGAGGAGATCGTATTCTATAATGACAAACAAATATCAAAATGGAGCATAATGGTACAGATCCGATCCAACGAGGACAGAAACAATCACAAAAGTCACGATTTGTCACAAAATAGCATCCTATTAAAGAGTTTCACTTCTTAGGCCAATGCCACTCCCAGGAGACACTACCCAGCTAGAGCCGAAGACCCGCAGAGTAGTGCATAACCACACTCACAGCCTAAAACTTTTCCAAACAACACCTGTAGGAATCGCTTGCAATTCCACACTTATATTTCAGGGGGAAAACTTCCCAGCATTGCATACATCCCAACACACTGACCCGAATACCCGGACTTGAACTTGCTTAAATCCCAAGGAGCCTCGACTACTCAAAACATTCAAGTTGAATACACACAACTCCTAATGCGGTAACTTCGACAAAACTTCAAAAAACAAGAGCGCACCGTGCTCAATGTCTGGATCACACACAAGCACACAGACACAGTGGATATAAGTTTACACTCAAGACAATTGACAAAAAAGTCCCCCAAGGAAAGAGCCTTGGGTCTCTTTATTCACAATGACAACTCTAGGATATCAACCGCCTGAGACGAATCGGTCTCAAGGGCTGTGTTGTCCGATGTAGCGGTTACGGTGTCATCTGAACTTACATCTACTCCTATCCTACGCAACACGTTTACAATCTCTACTTCTACATTCTGATGCGCCTCATTTAACTCCTATGAAAATGTGTTAACTAACTCTACAATCTGTTTGTGTCCGACGGATCCGTTGGTCTTGGCGCTCATCAACCGCCGCTCAAGCGAAGTAAACTTCAGCCACTTCACAGTTTGCAATCCCCACATTGCGAACCCGTTCAGACACTTCTCCAACCGCAACTTCAATCCGTCGGTTGTCTCGTCCCGCAGATGACGGTAGTACTCCTCTACCTTTTCCATTCTCCTGTGCGACTTTTGCGATCTCATGTCCGCCTTATCTAACTGCTCCCGCAACCGTCGACATTCTGATTCAATCTTCAATTTACATTCGACCGTCGAAGTTCTGGCCAATTCACAACCCGTCAATTTCTTGGCACAATTCACCAATTCCTCCTCATGCTTCCGGACCCTCTCCGTCAGACTTGCTGATAGCTCCTCCGCACGTCGGAATTCCGCCTCGTACTTACCCTTAATCTCTAAAACCTTGCGACGAAGATCTTCTTCCGTCGTCTTCGCCTCTGCAATTTTGCCCCGAAGTTTTTCGGCGATGCGAACTTCTTCGGCTCTTTGGGCCTCCAACAAAGCAAGTTCCTCGATATGTTTCTTCTCTCGCTTCTCCGCAGTGGTGATCAGTCGCTCCGATTGCTTAACTGCCTCATCATATGCTTCCTTGGATTTCTCCAACCTCGCGAGCAAATCCACTGTCATCTTCTGCCCATTCTCGTTAGATTTGCGAATTCCACCACAGGTCTCCTCCAACTCTGCACATCGTCCAAACTCCTTCTTTAGATTCAATTGCAGTACTTTGCACTTAATTTTCTTCTCTTGAAGCTGGGCTTCTCGCTCCTGCAATATCACCTTCATTGCCGCGCACTTGGTCGCCAAGTTTGCCGCTCGCTCCCGTGCCAATTCAGTCGCGGAATCCCACTCCACCTTTTGCCAAAAATTTACGCAGAGCTTCTTAGCAACTCATCAATCATAAAAAAAGAAGAGGGGCGAAGCTATTTGCTTCACCCCTCCCCCCTCCGGTTACCGAGTAGCCATGGCTTATGCAATAAGGCTCTTTACTGTTAGTGCTCTCTTGGGCTGCGTTCTATTTCTTATCATCTCCACATAAAATCCTACCTCCTTGGATATAACATACTTCTCTCTCTTCTCATCCAAATACTTCAGTTATGGGACCACACTATCCTGCATGAAATCGGGGAAAGAAACGACTAACTCCTTCGATTCCTCCTGCGAAGTCTTCGTCTCTTCTGCAGGCCTCACTTCTTCTATAAGAAATGACGGCAGTGCACTGTCTGGGGCATCTACCACCGTCCCTCCAACCTGTGCCACAATCTGTTCTAGTACTTTGTCGCTTAACGTTAACTCCTTTACCAATTTCTCGCTCGTCTTCGGATGTGGTATTCCTTCACTTCCCGCAGTCTGTGTCCGCTCCAAAGACAGAGAATTCGGACTAACTATCTCCATTCCCTCCTTCGAAGGTTCCGCCAGTGCTTCTACTGGAACTTCGATCAATAACCTTGAAGATCCTTTCCTCCCTATTGTCGTGCGACTCAGTATCGCCATACATCATACATCGCTGACATGCTCTACTCACAACTCACACATACATACACAAGGAACGAGAGTGTCCATACACAAAGGTATCACAACTAAAAATGTCGAAACACGAATACACAAAGAGTCAAGCCAAACT